ATAAGTCCTTGCATGATGTTAAATACAGGTCAAGTATTGATTATACAGAAGGAAATACAGGTGTTGAGACCACGCCAAGATAACAAGAACATAGGAAAATACAAAGGAGTGACAATTAGATACATGCGATAATAACTTTCCAGCCCAGGAACATAGAGCAATTCATTGAAGCGATTTGTACACCTCTGTATTTATTAGGAACCTGAGGTGCTTGAGTTCCGGATTTAATGTATTCCCTGCGGGTTTCGAACCCACGCGCCTTGGTTTCCCACGCCAAGGTGCTACTGAGTGGCCGCATTAACCATTCGGCCACCGGGGCGTATAAATATTACAGAGACTTTTATAAAGATCTGTGAAAGTTAGATAAAGTCATTCTTTAAATTCTTCTTTATATAAGCTTATAAGATCTCTGTTTTATAATAAGAGAGCTTATATATTAATTCTCAGAAGAGTTTCTATTCTTCTATTAAATTTATTATCAGATTCTTCTTATAGTGAGATAAAAGCTTAGCTATCTTAACTGAACTAAATATCTCTATAAGATCTTAATATTTCTCTGATATCTGAAGCTTAGTTTTCATAACTGTGAGATTCTCAGATATTTATAAAGTTATTATATAGATGAGCTTGTCTTCTCTGATTAACTCTGTAATATTAACTGATTCTATCTCTGTAAGTAAGTCTATTAACACTGATTGAAAGTATAAACCTAACTTATAGACAGCTATGTATGAATTATGTCTTTAAAGAAATACAAGTTCTAAGTACATGTTATCTATAATATCTGTAATAATTACAGTTTCTAAGAAATCTCTTTCAGATTTCAGAGAGATCTTATAATTTAAAGATAACTTCTATAAGTCTCTCAGTTCTCAGATCTGAGTTCTCACACTCTGCTTATTATAAGAGCAGATTCTCAGTTTTTATTACTCAGCTTATTCACTCTATAAGCTTTAGAAACACTATAGTAATCTAAGACTCTGAGTTTATTAATACTTTTTATACTTATGAGTAGACTGACCGTGTGACTGTGTCTGAGATCAGAACCAGATTTTTTGATAGTTTTATTATCAATTCAACTGATCTCATTACATGGTTTTAACATTAGATAGTAGTCTCATACTGTCTCAGTGAGACTTACTGTCTACTCTTATCATATTTTTCAAATGAGATCATGATTTCCACTTCTCAATTTAAATTATTTTTATTGCTTTAAATGACTTTAAATCTTATTTGAGCGTTATCAAAAACCCATTACTTTTTAAAAAATTAAAAATAGTCTAAAAAAACCTTAAAATGTCTAAAAAATAGTAACTTTATATCAAGAATGAGACTAAATGAGACTAAATGAGATTACTTTCTTATTTTTTTCAAGTCATGGTTTCATTTTAAGATCTGATATATAGTCACTTTACATGTTTTTTTAATAACTAGTCCCAGCGGGATTCACATCAAGAAATGTATGAAATCAGACTAAATGAAATCAAATGTGAAATTCATGATCTCAGTAGTCAGTCTACTTATGAGATAGTAGTACTTAGACTGACTATGTGACCGTGTCTGAGACCAGGATCAGATTTTTTGATAGTCTCATTATCAATTCAACTGATCTCATTACACGGTTTTAACATTAGATAGTAGTTTCATACTGTCTCAGTGAGACTTACTGTCTACTCTTGTCACATTTTTCAAATGAGATCATGATTTTCACTTCTCAATTTAAATTATTTTTATTGCTTTAAATGACTTTAAATCTCATTTGAGTGTTATCAAAAAGTGTTACTTTTTAAAAAATTAAAAATAGTCTAAAAAAAACCTTAAAATGTCTAAAAATAGTAACTTTATGCTAAGAATGAGACTAAATGAGATTAAATGAGATGACTTTCTCATTTTTTTCAAGTCATGGTTCCATTTTAAGATCTGATATATAGTCACTTTGCATGTTTTTTTAATGACTAGTCCCAGTGGGATTCACGCCAAGAAATGTATGAGATCAGACCAAATGAGACTAAACATGAAATTCATGATTTCAGCAGCCAGTCTAGTAGTACTGCAGCACAGTCTCTTCTTATAAGTATGTATTTTTATTGAGAGAGTAACAGAGTCAGATATCAGTTTTAAAACTCTTAAAAAGACTGTTATTAACTCTATCTATAACTTCTTAAATTTCTATTTTAATTTATCTGAATAGTTTGCACAGAGATATTCTGATTTAAAATAGATAAAGCAGAGTTTCTTTTTCTTAATCTCTCTATTATATACTCTATTTATAAAAGCTTATAAAACTCTTTCTCTTTACTCAGTAGTTAAATATAAATCTGTTTATATCTTATTATCTTTTTTTAATAAATCTGTTCTCTGTTATTCTAGCTCTTGCAGAGCTGATTGATAATTTACTCTTTATAAATCTGTGACTCTTACAGTGATCTGTAAGTGATAAATAAGAGTTATCAGTTTCTTCAGAGTTAAAAGCTTAGAGTCTTACTTAATAAGCTTATTCTATATATCTTTATTTAACTTCTTTATAAATATTATTATTCAGATCTTATTTCAGAGCTCTGTTTTCACAGATCTTAATTCATATTATAATTTTATAAAGTGCTATAAGTAGTCTTTATCAGATTTCTTATCTCTTTTTCTAATATTAATAATTATAGTTCAGATGTTCTCTGTTCAGCTTATAAAGTCTCTTAACTTATTTCTTAAATAGATCTTAAGAATAGATTAGTAAGATCTCTTATAATTATTCTTTAAATAGTTCAGCTAGTTCTTAACTTTAGTATAGTAGAAATCTGTTATTATATAGATAACAGCTTCTTCATCTTTTATATCACACAGCTGAGCTTGTAAGTTAATTTTAAATACAAACTTATAAAAGTTTTTATAGATTATAATTCAGTAGAAGACCTTAAATAATTATAACTTAAAAAAGTTTCTTTTCAGTTTATAAGTATCTCTGAAGATTATGTCTAGAAACTCAGTTTAAGAGTGTTTACAGATAGTAAGTATTTCTTATAGAAAAATAACTTAATTCTGTGAGAAATACTCAAGAATATTCTTTATTAACATTGATTTATTCATAAGTTCAGAGAGTTTCTCTGTCATAGATATAAAGAATAATATCATATAAGTAATTAATATATTCTCTAAAACTTCTTTTATAGAGATTATTTATAATTTAAGTAACTACTTCTGAGTATCTGTAGTAGAGTTTATAAAGATTAAAGTATATAAGTTTCTAATTCTTTCAGTTATAATAGATAGCTACTGACTGACAGAGCTTGAAATATAAGAATAAGTGCTTATAGACAATTATTCAGATATTTACAGCTTGATATAATATATACTATTAACTACTAGAAGTACTTACAGTAGAAAGATAAAATATAGAGATTAAATATATAATAGTATTTAAGCTGAGTTATAAATAGTATTCACAAACTTCAGTCTATATAGTTATATGTAGTCAAGAGCTGCTAACTCTATTAATTATATAAGAGATAGAAATAGAGGTAAAGAATTCACAAGAAGCAGAATTTCTTACAGTAATATCTGTATCTAATCTATTTAAATTCTTATTTTTTAAGTCATCTGAGTAAATCAGAATAGAGTCTTTTATATTAATTATAGAGATTCTCTTTAAATACTGTTCATATTCTCTCTCTTTAAATAGTTTACTTATTTACAAGTCTATGAAAGATTCAAGCTTTTCTTCAGAGAACAGATTAGTAACTATAGATAATTAAAGAATTAACAGCTAATTCAGAAGTAGTTAAGTTAGTTTAAGTGTTAAGATTATTAAGAGCTAATCACTTCAGTGAATCTGTATATATATAATTGACAGACTTATCTACTGCAGTAACTACTGTAGCAGCTGTCAAACAATAGTATTTAATATCACAGATATATTCATAATTAAGAGCTTGACAGTTATTACAGTTTCTGAAGAGATAATTAACAGTGTAAAACAGATGAGATGAACAGTCTTCACAGTATATATCACAGTGTGACAGCTTAACTTACTATGAGTTAAGTATAAAAACAGCTATATCTCTCAATGATAAGCAGGAGATTTGAACTGAATATATCTGACATGCATGATATTGAGCTTCACGGTATGTAGAGCATGTATTATTATTATTATTATTATTATTCTTTCATTATACTCATATGCAAGCGGAGCTTATAATGAGTCCTTGCGTGATGTTAAATACAGGCCAAGTGTTGATTATACAGGAGGAAATACAGGTGTTGAGACCACACCAAGATAACAAGAACATAGGAAATACAAAGGAGTGACAATTAGATACATGCGATAATAACTTCCCAGCCCAGGGACATAGAGTGATTTTTGTTGAAGTGATTTGTACACCTCTGTATTTATTAGAAACCTGAGGTGCTTGGGTTCCGGATTTAATGTATCCTGCGGGTTTCGAACCCACACGCCTTGGTTTCCCACGCCAAGGCGCTACCGGGTGGCCGCATGTATGAAATAATGCATTGAATTGACATTATTCAAATGCACTGAGAGAATGAGAATTCTCACACACTAAGCAGCAGTGCATGAAATAAGTATACTAATAAATATATAGATTGAAATGAATGTAGAGGAGAGTATAAAGAATGTAAATACAGTAGAGAATGTCTGTAAAGAAAAGAATGAAGATTAATATCAGAGCTGTACAGACTGCAGAGCTGGCTGTTCAGATGAATTCATTTTGATGAGATGCATATGATATCATGTGAGGTCATGTTACAGGGCATTTTACTTGGAAAAGTTGGTTTTTCTATAATATATAGAGAGATAATAATAATAATAATAATAATAATAATACAAGGGCACCTAACAAGGGTAGAAAATACTATCGAAATGAGGATAAACCGCGAATAGAAAAAAGACCCCGGGCTGGAAGAAGACGGGGGGATATAGTATGAAAATGTGAAAGAGAGAAAAACATAAAATGTTCATTCATGTCATTTCATTTCATTCTTTCATTCGTTCACTCATCATCTGGTGGTAACTCATCCTCAAGGTACCGCACTAAAGACACCCGCATTTCCGTCGCATCGTTCCCTCGCAGCACATCGCTCACAAAATGAGCCTCAACTTGCATTTGGACCTGGAGCAAAATTCCAGGTTTTTTATTAATATTTATTCGTAGCTCGGCATTTTCCGCCACTAAATGCCCGTTGTGGTCCCCAATGAGACAAAACCACTGCGCCGTAGCGGGATAGAATTCAAGGGAAAAAAGAAAAAAAAATGCAGATGGAAATGCCAAATTAGAGGGAGAGGAAGAAAAAAAGAAAGCTCACCATCTCAAGGGCCCCCCGCAGCACCCCGCATAGGATATTTGAAAACCACAGCTCATCCTGGGCCCGTCCGTCATCCGGCAGCTCTACAAAGTCTGCTAGCGGGTTCTCTTCAAATATGAGCGAGAAGGATTTATTATCGCTCGTCCAGTTCGTGATCGTCGGCGTGATGTTGAGGAATATCTTGAATCCGACCTGTAGTAGCGCAGTTATAATGGATTTAGCTTAGTTATTATATTTATATATATATTATAGATAGATATAAATAATCCCACCTTCGAGATCATATCCGCAGTCTCTCTGAAATTCGCACAGCGGCCCCGTGTCCGATTTGGCCAGGAAGTCTTCGATTAGCCGCATGCCGATGTTATATCCCATCTTATCTAGCTGCTTGTTTACTTCCACGTAGTCGCTGTCGTAGTCGTTGCAGAGTTGCGCGACGATAGTGCCGTATGTCAGTGTCACGAGCTCCGCGTTGACTTTGTCGACTTTTGTTCTGGATTTGTTTTTGACGTTTAATGTTTGGTCATTTTGAGCGTGCAATACCGTTTGTATGTTGTGAGAAGAAGGAAGGAAGGAAAGGAAATGGAAAAAGGAAACCGGGGCGTTCGGGAGATCATCTTATCTTAGGGGGGAACTCACTTCCATGTCCTAGAATAAGAAACAACTAGATGTTAGTACGGATGTAAGACCCATATATTTTGATATATTGTTTTCGCTAGACATCATAACGAGAAACGTACTCTTCACCGATCCTTGACGTTGACGTCTTGGTCGAGGACATCTTTATTATATATGCAACGAAGCTCTATCGCTAGCTATCTTATCGCCGCAGAAACGGGGTTGGAGGTTCGTATCGTTCGTCTCAGGAATTGTTGTAGCGGGGAAATATGGAGCAGGAACTAATGGATGTAGTAATTGTCCCACGCACGTCACATATTTCAACCACAGAAAATTAGTCGCGCTATACAACAAAGTAGGTGGGGTAGTGTTGGTATCAGGAGAATCGATGGATGAAATGTTGTTGGACAACTCTCTGGGTGGAAGAGGATGGATTGCATAAGTAAGCCCGCTTCTCTTGGAGGATAACGATGTGTTGTAATCTAACTACGCGAGTTACACTAAATAGGTTGGGGTGGCACGTGACTAGGGTAGGTGTACCATACCGGAAAAACGTAGGCTTATTATACGACCGGGTTATGGTTGTTCCGCCGTGCCAGTTGCTGACACCGTCACTGAACTGTAAATCTTAATATAATGGTGGATAAGCCATGGAATCATAAACAAGTTATGAACAGGAAAAAATTATCATTATATTGACAATGTCACTGATTTCTATCTATATAATCACTAATTCTAAAAAATATCTTATTCACTGAAATCATTCTCTATTAAAAATCTGTTATATCTCTATTTAATTTCTCTCAGATTCTCTGAATTATCTCTCTCTTATTATCATTATTTCCTGTCATATTCACATCAGTATTAATATTCATTTCTGTGAACTTGTAAATTAATGTTGAAGTTTTTGAAGAGTCAGTGTCAATGATCATTTGCTGTTTAAGAGAGAGAGTTTTAGAGAGAGAGTTAGAAGTGATATATTTATTCATCTATATTATTATCAACTTCTGTATAAATCTGAGAATCATTTCACTGATTCTAACTTACTTTTTAACTGAGAATGTCAAGAGTTTCAGAGCTGCTCATAGTCAGAGAATCAACTGAAGTCAGAACATCAGAGAAGAAGAGAGAGAGAAGACTAGTAACAGTAATAGAAGTATCAGTATCAGCATCAGCATCAGTATCAGTAGTAAAGACAGAAAGAGAATTATTACTATTATCAGATTTCTCATTACACTTCTATCAGTAATCAGTAAATCTCTTAAATTATTTCAATATTTCACATGTCTTAACAGTAATATTCAATGCATTCTGATTGATATTATTTATAACATTTATAAGATTCATTATTACTTATTTTTAAACTTTAATATAGTGATTTACTGTTATTAAAATCTCATGCTGCACTGTAAGCCTACTTCTCTCAATTTTTAATTTAATCTTCTCAGTAATAACTTTCTTCTTCTTAATAATAACTTTCTTCTTCTTAACAGTAACTTTCTTCTTTTTAAGCTCAAGCTTTGTCTTTTTAATATTCAGCTTTGTCTTTTCAATCTCAATTTTTACTTTTTCAGTAGCACTGATTATAACATTTGAGACTTTTACAGCAATATTAATACTTTTTATACATTGAGCTTCTGCTTTCTATCACTGAGTCTTGACTTTCTTAATTTGTTTTGAAAGATTCTTTACTAATTTCAATATAGTCTTCTTTATTATTATCTTGAATTAACCTGATAAAGAAAGATAAAATTTATAAGTTTAGATCAGACTGTTAACTTATTCTTTTAATTCTTTATAGATAATCATGCATCTCTTTTTCTCATAATTATAATTTATATAAGACTTTGAGCTTCTCTTCATCTTGTTATAAGCAGTATTCAAATAACAGAGAAAAATATACTCAATACAGTGCTTATATATTGTCAGTTTACTAGACTACTTTATCAGAGTATTCAGACAGCTGCTTACTTTCTTCTCTTAAGTCTTTGCAGTGACTGCACAGATACACTTGAGAATATTACTTATTATTTTAATACTGCTACTGTTATTATTATTATTACTATAATTGATACTAATATAATGAATTGCTGATATTCTTGATATACTATACAGATAAGATATCTTGATTAGAACTTTTCTGATTAAAAGCTTTCTATTACAACTGACAGAATACTAACTGTGCTGAGAAATAAAGAAGAACAGAGTGAGCTGAAAATAATCTTTGCAGTGTATTATTGTGACAAGAAGAAGAAAGAAAGAAGAAAAGAAGAAAAAGAAAAAGATAAGTCTTTATATATATTATTAAGTCATCTTTGCAGATTATTATGTAATGAATTTGAATGCTTTTATATTTTAGAAGACTTCTGAGTGCAATCAGTGCATCTGACAGATTTCACTTATATCTTATTTTCAGAATGAATACTTTTTACACAGGCTATCACTGAATGAATTACAGCTATTTTGAATAGAAATTCATTTCTATTAACTAGAAACAGATGTTTAATATACTGTCAGAAATATATCTATAGAATTCAAGATGAATAAAAAAGATTTTCTGATATAGTGAAATCAGTAAATTCTCTGCAGTCATAACTATACAAATTATAAGATAGAGAATATAACAACTTTCTTCAGTGAATATCAAGACAGATATATTCTAATTATGTATATTAAAGTATATATTAACTAATTTATATATAAAACTCATAGAAAACTAAATATATTAAAATAGAAATAGATTGTGTTGAAAATCTTTACATCACTGATCTGTCTTTCATTAGAAGTATCACTGAAAATTTGATCTTTTTTCACATCTTCTCTTATACATTCTTCATCAGATGTCTCTTTTTTACTGTTAAGATATTCTGAATTATCTTAGCAAAGTCATCTCTGATAATTTACTGATATTCAGAAAACTCACTTATCAGATCTCAGAATGTCAGAATATTTTATCATTGTAATATAACTGTGATGAAATTTTTATTTATATCAGTATTATCAAATATTTTAACCTGAGTTATAAGATTGATATATATCTCTATTTTTCTGAATCAGTTTCTAGTTTTTCAGTTCAAAGTTTTCAATTCAATATCTTTAACTAATGAATATTTAACTTATGTTTCATATATCATTGTTCTCACTCAGAGAATTGATTAAAGTCAATGATTTTCTGCACTCAGTAAAAAAATCAGAAAGAACTTTTCAGTGATAAATAAATTACAGAAGTATTTAAAGATGATTAATTCTTCATAGCAGTTATATAATCTGATTACTACTGAACTTTCTCTACTCTTTATCTTCTCTCATTGAACATAATTCTAAATTAGTAAATGATTAGCTAAGTTAGTCAAAAAAAATTTAATATTTCATTAAAAAGTTAATATATTTACTAAAATCTAATACTACTTGTCTTCATTTCTTTGAGAGTTCAGAACTTTCATGTTTTAATTATATTCAGCATTATCATTCTACTGAATGAAAAGATGTATGATGTTTTATTCTTTATTTTTATCACACTTGTAATCATTCAATTCAAATTATCTTTGTTAAAAGAAAGAAAATATATTTATTTTATCTTCAGATACAGACACTGCTCTGTCAGCTGAATTTTCTTCTCATATATTTCTGTATCTGAATGCTGAGTTCAGTGATGCCTTTTTAACAGACTACTTGATATCAGTGATGAGTTTGACTTCTTCTTATCTAGCTGGCATTTATCATTGCTGTCATTATATTCATTCTATATTCAGATATATCAATATCAGATTTCTTTTGAAATCAGTGATTTGTCTCATTAAATCTATCAGATAAGAGAGTTCAGAGACATCTAGTAATGCAGAATTCATAATAATATTCATTTTTAGAATCTTGATAGAACTCTGATAAATTTGTAATATAAATTTCAGTAAATTGTAGAAATATAGTAGTTTGATTCTTAATATTAAATTAATGTAGATTGTCACTGATTGCAGCTCTTATTAATATATCTCTTTTCAGTAATTTAATCTTATCTTTTTATTTTATCAAGACTGCTCATTTACTTCATTTATATCTTTTCACCTATGTAACTTTTTTCTACAAATCATATCAGAAAGTAAAATATTATGTCTGTTTAATTGAAATCTGAAACACTACCTGCTATCTGTCTCTAGACAAGAATTCAGAGATAATCAATTGAAATTTCAACATCAGAGCCTCTCTTTTCCAGAAACTGCAAATGAAGATTTCACTGACAGTGATTCAGACAATGATACTCTTAGTAAAGAAGTATTACTATTCTTAGTAAGTTTATCACTTTTAATATCTCTATTATTATAAAAACTAACATTCTCTAAAGACAGAGTCATATAATAAGAATGCTGCTGATAATATTAAGCATATTAAGTAGCTTTTAAAAGCAGCTGCTGAGGAGAATATTTCTGAAAATAATGATCAAGAGAATTCTGATAAGTCAGTCACTGATAATATTAAAATATCAGCTGCTGATGCAATTGCTGTTATTATTACTGATCAATTTATTGATTCTGATTCAGTAATTGATATATCTCACAAATACAGTAACTTTGAAATGAATTCATTTATTCTGACAATGAGACTCTGAGCTGAAGAGTTGAGTATTTTCTGAAAAAACTACAAATCATTAATGTAAATTCTGCATTTATTGAAGAATATATCACTGATAAGTCTGCTTTCAGAAGGTCTCTCAACTCTGAAAAAGTAATACAGAGTACAATTTCTGATTTTATCAGTTAAGAAAATCTCAATTTCAATAGTATTATCAATGTAAATATCAACTCTGAGTTCTGCTCAGAAAAATCTCACTAAATTCTTCATAAGATTACTCTACTTTTAAAATTCAATTCTCTTGATATCTGCTCTTCTCAAATCCTCAACTTTTCAGTGACAAATGCATATAGAAATGACAGAAATTATCAATAATCTCACAGAGTTATGACAATCTCACAGTTGAAGAAGCTCTATTAAATATTATTCTACTAAATTTATCTGATATTTATTAATAAATAAACCTATTTTTCCTTCTGATTTTATTTGATATCAGGGTGAGAATCTTGAATGCTACTGTAAATCAGAGTTGAATAATATATCTCATATTAAAAGAGTGTATTTTATTAGACATAATCACTGACATTCAGATATGAG